GCCGTGGCCTCCGTGGGGAGCGTGAGCAAGGACGGGGCACTGCGTGGGGATCGTTCCTTCGCCTTTTATATATGTGTATATAAAACCAGAGGCAGCCCTGAGAACGGCGTATCAGTAGCGTGCGGCACGGGAGAGTATTCGTAATTTATCTTTTATAGATATTCCACCTTGCTGACTTCATAGCTTGATAGCTTAGGACTGGCCTTTTTGGGTCACGGGAGGACACACGGAATTGTATGAAGGCCGTCAAACCCGCGGCAGTAAATGCTCAGCAAGACCTACTGGCTGTCGTGACAAAAGCACAACCAAGACTGATGTTTTTGAAAGGCCACCTTTCCCAAAATCCCAGCCTTTGGGAAGAACGGAAGTCAGTAATATTTACTTAAAGTGTGGTGATGATGATGATGATGATCAGTAACTATATTGCGCCTTTTCAGCTTCCCCGAGCAGAAATTTCTCTGTGCTGCTTCCTGGTAGCTAGATGTCCCGTCTCAAAAACGCCGCCCTTTGCTCTGGCACTGGGGGTGCTGAGCAGTGAAGAGCTCAAACCTGGTCTCTGTCTTACCTGAGCGAAGCGCTGTCACACAGAGAGTTGCTTGTGCTATAGAAAATAGTTATTTGAACCCTCATGCTTGCTAGTGGAATCCTTAACTTTGAATGAGGATACAGAAGTTTATTTAAAAACCAACCAACCAACCAAGCCAGACCCCAGATCTTTTGTGTGCCTATTTTACTAACTTTGTGAAAAATAGCTTTAAAAGAAACCCCACCAACCAAACAAAAATACTTCTTTTTCTTATTTTCGAACTGCTAAAGTGTAGTACGTGTTGTCATATTCTGGCTGTGGAGTTGACTGAGCTGTGTACCAGCTCTTCCTGACAAAAATTTGCAAAGATGTTCAGAGCTGGACCTGCGTGTACAATTGCATGTCAGAAGGGTAATGAGGAGAAAAATTGTTTCTCACCCAAGAACAACAAACTTTTAGTGGTAGCAGATAGATTTCCAGATAAAGGATTTAAGGTGGTTACTAAGAATTCTGTGTGGCGTTGTAGTGTCTATTTTAAAAATATTTCATGTTTCTTAACATTAATTTCTGCAACCTGCTGCGTGTGTTTCTGTATCTTTTTTTCAAAAAATTTTAGCCAGATGTTCCTCATGCATCTTGAAGGCCTCCTCATCTGTGAGTGATGCACAGAAATGGTTTATTCTTCCAACTGAAGCACTGTTGATTTTGTTTCAAAAGCCAGAACATGTCTTGAGCAGATCTCAAAGGTGGTACAAAGAGTATTTGGGAAAAAACAAAAACTTTGAAAAACATTTGAGTGACCTCTGCAATTCACAGGAAATGCAAAAAAAGGAGATAATAAAAAATTGAGTATTTCCAGATGAGTATCTACCTTTCATTTCCAGTGTGTCAGATCTTTACAGGTGGAAACAGTAAACTGAGAACTTTTTTGCTTGTGCTTTTATGCCTACATTTAACTAATTGCTAGTGTTTGATGAAAAAGGTCTGTGTGCACAAATGAGCCATCATTTATTGTTGTTGGTTGTGTTTTCAGCCTTTTACAAATTTCTGATTTCCTTAAATATGGAGTTCAGGTTTGGGAAGATTTGTTTCATGCTGAAAAAAACTTATGGGGGAAAAGCTTTTATTTTTTTAAAAATGATGAGCTAATAGCTTATCCACATACAAGAAATCTGAACCGTTATGGTAGCTGCTGCTAATGGCTGTGTCATAAAGACAATTTAATTCATCCAACTCAGTAAATGTGACAGAAAAAGACGATACCTAATAAACTGTGAGTTTGTTTATAGATGTCTAAGCAACCTGGCTTACACAGTGATTTCTTTCTTCATTAGGTAGAAGATGTCTTCTTTCTGCGGCCTATGTGGACAACTCAAAATGGGAAAAGAGACATAAAGAGGAGCATAGCCTGGGTAAGAAAACTTTTCCTCCAGTTTGACAAGTTATTGCAACCTGAACTCATTTAGGCTAGCTCATCATCAATAAATATTTCAGAATAAAAACATGTGTGGAGCAAAATGCTTCTGAACTTCTATGTCAAAATCTGCTCGACATATTAAAAATCTGTCATATGTATTCAAAGCTATGATGCAGACACAGGTTAGAATTTGCCCATTCAATTAATGTTTGGTTTCTACAAGCTGATTTTTCCTTTCACAAAATACAAAGCTTTTATGAATGTCATAGTTGTGTGTCTGACAGTTAAGACTGTCTCTGAGTGTCCTCTTCATTGATACTGTTTTACTAGAACTATTCTATAAATTTTAGAAGGCGTTCCTGTTTAAAAATGTATTTTTAAAAGAACATTTTCCTCAGAGGTTTGCAAAAGGGAAAGTTACATTTCGTGTTGAAAATTTACATTTTTCTTTGAGGAAAAAGTAAAACTAAACATTTTATTTCTGAGAAGTTGTACATTAAACTGTATCTGCATATGGTTCTGGGATTTCTCATGCGAATTTCATAGCTAAATTCTTTGGCTAGTTTACATGTGAAATTACATTCTACCATCTTTTTGATGACTATTTTACATAGAAAGCATCATGCAAAAACATTTTTCCAAGCTAAAGGTACAGATGCATTATTTTGTAACACAAGTGTTTTGGAGACCTCTTAATCTTTGTCTTCTGTTTTTCATTCCTGGGTCCCTGAACTGTGTTTGTTAGTTGTGACACAGATTGTGAGGCTGAAAGAATAATCAGCAAGTGAAATTCAAGGGCTTTTTTCCGGCAGAAGAACAGACAAAATGATCAGAGTAATGTTTTTTTATGCACTAATTTGTTTCTGTTATTTGCCTATAAACAGCTAGGTTGTTATTGTCAACGTGTTTTACTGTACATGGGCCAGAAACAGCCTGTGAGTGCTTGTGACTGTAGCCTGGATCCTACAGAGAGAGAGACTGATGATACCTTCTAACCCTTCACTGTCAATAGAGCTGCTCATGCAGTGTTTTTTGGGCTGGAGCCACAGACTAGCGCCCTGGGATGCATTTGAACTAGCCACCTCTAGATGAAAAAGGGTTCTTACTTTGACAAATGTCATAGGCAATAGAAATCCACTGTAGAAGAAAACGTGCAAGTGCTGGTAACAGTCCATGCTTGGCATTCCTCCGGCCTGGCAAGACCTTTCGTGACTGTCTGGCAAGCACGGTTCTTGCTGCTGCTCTGCCAGTGATCTCGATCCAAAGCAGATGTCGGTTACGCACTTTTTAAATAACTGCTTTGCATTTTCATTTTGTGTTCACAGAAAAGAGAAAACAAGTTAACACGGTGTCAGCTGTATTAGCATTTTCAAAGAGGGGACAGCCCTGCAGACTTCCACTCTGTAGCTGTCAGTTAATATGGTTGCACTCAATCTTGTGTGTAGTAACTGGTGATTGTAGCTAGAGTGAATTCCTAGTGTTGAGGAGATGCTCTTTTATTTGTGCATTTCAACACTGTTTCAGAACTGTTGTTCTGCATAACTATGTTGTGAGAATACATTTAAAGGTAAAGGAAGTATTTTTGGTTTAAAGTCGGTTCCATTTCTCTGCTGCAGTGATGTGACGCTATCACAGACTCAAACTAATTTACTGTGTCCATATAAGATATGCTTTATTCTCTTCTCCATAGTCTCAGTTTAGCATTCCAAGCATGAGTGAGTTTAGCAAACTTCAGTACTGAAAAAACCTGTATTATGTGTACAGTAGCACATTTGTTCAAAAAGGTAGGAATTGCAAATGTATTAATTTGGAATTTACAAACTGCTTGCTGGCAGGAAGATACCAGTCTAGAAGTAATTTGGACTCCACTTAATGAAAAAGAGATATTAAGGACACAGGAGGCATGGCTGGACTTAGATTGTCCAATGTTTCAGTTGATTCATCACTTATAAGGGTAAAATTAAGTGACAGCGAGCATCTTGATGAGAAGAATAGCAATAGAGTCCCAGGGGATAGCAGAATCCAAATGAGATATATGTCTTTTTTTCTGGTTAGAAAAACTCATGGTACCCAAGATGGCTCATCCACCAGGCGGCAGTGCTGCCTTTACAGAGTGGAATAATTTCCATTCAAAGCTCCCTTTGGTACAAAGTTGTAGCTCTTTCTAGAAGCTGCGAAGGCTGTGGAAATACTGAGAAGTGTGAAACATACATTTATAAGGCAAAGTACTTGCCTCAGCCTTCCTTTATATTTTAATTTGGTCTTTAAAATAAATCAAGGCTTTCTTTATATGGAAAACAAAATGTTAGCCTGTGAGTTAAGGTATTAGCTCTGCCCATCATTCCCAGGGCTGATAAACTTTGTGTCACGGTTATATCTGCTTTCCCATTGCTTCCCCGTCACTGGATTTCAACCCTGTCCGGGATGAACCCCTTCTAAGAATAAGAGGGTGACTTTAGGTGATGGCTAAATGTGCCACTTGTTGATGTGGCTACATGCTGTGGATAGCTACACACTGTGAATCAAACTGAAACTGTGCTGATTTCCTAGGCCAGCAAATTTGTATTAGATGCCATAACCACAGACTTGGAAAGGTGAGGGTCAGTATTTTCCCAGATACTGTCCTGAATCACCCTGTTGCAGGCTGCAAGACGTTGAGTTTCTATGGACAAATGAAAATAAAAGTGGGCATGAAATCTCAGCTGTCAGTACTCTAGAGACAACTGTGAGGTCATGTCCAGAAGTTAAATGACCTCAGCTCAGACTTACAGTTCGTTTTGTTAGTTTGTTTAAATCCAGGAGATTCTGCAATATGCAGAAATATGTTTTTACAGAAATTAAAGTTTTGTAAAAGTTCATCTTGTAGAAATATATTTTTAGGGAATGTGTGTGAGAGATTATACATAGTGTCCTCTTTGGTAATGACTATCAGATAAAAGCGCTTGCAGTGTATTTTAGTTAGAATGTACATAGAATTTTGCTTTGGCCATCAAAACTTTTATTTGGTTTATACACCAGTGTTAGTGCTCAAGTTGTACTATGGACAGTGCTAGAAGACTTGGGCATTCACATTCTTGCATTCTAGTACTTCTGTCAGGATGTTTTTAACTAAGAAGAAGAAGAAGCTTTAATCTTGGTTATTTAATAACAACTTACGGAGTGAATTTGGTTTACAAAAGGTAACTGTATTATTTCACTTCGTGAATATGAGAAAAAGTCTGTGTTTAGGTGCTCTTCAGAGAAAACAAGCCAGGAAAGAATTACTCACTGTGAATTATACATATCTGGAAACTACAGCAGAAGTGGTAATTTGTCCGGAAACAAAGCTAAATTTCCCCCTACCTTGATTTGTCTTCTATTATTTAAGGTTTAATCAGCTTTCATTTTATTATGACTCTCACACTGGTAAGTGCTTCATGTTGCTTCCGTGGTGAAGTTCTGATGGAGAGTTACAGCTTTGTAGACAGCACAAAACGTCAGTCATAAAAATTCTGTGTGTGAACTCTCCCAGAGGAGGCCAGTGCATAAATGGCTAACAGTCTTGGGATCTTGCACTCATAGCATTGTATTCATTTCGTTTATATTCTATGTAAGTTTCCTGAAATTGGCTTTTTGTCTTTATGAGCATCTAGACAAAAGAAGTGCCAAGCTCAGGGTTTGAGTATGGCCCAAAATGGTCTTAGTTATCACCTTCCAGTTTTCAGATGGTGATGCATAACAAAACCAGTTCTGGAATAGGTAAATGAACTCCCAGCCCATGCAGTTGTCTGTCTCAGGTCTGTGTTGCTATGTCATCAAACACAGCATATTTCAGAGTAAATACTTTTCCACCTGTCTTGAAATGCAGATGGAAAATGTTGCATGACATTTGGTTTAGTATGTTTAGGCAAGGATCTAGCCAGTTCTTAGTTCCTGACAAGTTGGCTTGGCCACAGCATCTGTTCTCTCTATCTTGTAGCACTACTGACAATGCCCCCAAAGTCTTTACCTGCATGCTCCATCATGACCTTTGTGAATGCTGGAGAGACTCAAATACAGGCACTTCTTGTAATTTCCCACAGAAATTTCTTTACCGTTAAAAAAGTTAATCTGTTTTAGTGGTTATCTGATACAGCATGGCCTTGGTGGCCCACATCAACTCACTGTCCTGTCTTGTATTTCATAGGAGGCTGTTACTTGCCTCAGTAACTCTGCCCCAGATTTCCTTTTGCTTTCATGGTTATGAGGGCTTTTCTTCCCTCAGCCAGAGATAAATGCTCTCTTTGTGTTTTGAAAAATACCTTCAAGTGTCTCAAGAAGGAAGGTGTTATGTAAACACAAAATACTGCTATGTGGCAGACAGCAGCACTGTCCACACTAAGAGTCAACTTTTTTATTCCAAATCAAGGCTCTGTCATTTTACTGCAGCAAAAATCTTTGCACGTGTGTTGTAATTCAAAGAGTACCCATAAGGTCAGAGTAGCATTGAATCGTACTGTTAGAACTGTGTATTCCTCAGTATTCACTAGTGGTGCAGGTATGTTTTTAAAATGGTGAATAGTGATATCACTTGTTTTGTGGACAGAACGTACATGGACCATATCCCTCGGAGACACAGCATGTTACTTGTGCAGTACTGCTTCCTGTCTCTGACAACTTTGCCAGAGAGAAGGCTTAGTCAGTTCTGATGTGGTGCTGCAAGTTGTGCTCCTCTCACATGTCATTGACAGGTGTGGAGGTGGGATGACCTTTTTGGAAAATGAATTGTAAAATGAGCCAACCCATCAGCTCTTGAAGGATGGCCAATGGGACTAATCAAGAGGTGTCAAAGGAGAGGCTGGTATAGCAGCAGTCTTGGGGTGCAAAGGATGAAACAAGGTGCTAATGATGCGGAGAGAATATGTTGGATGAAAGGCTGAGGGAGCTGAGTCTCTTTGGCTTGGAAAAGAGGAGACTGAGGGGAGACCTCATTAATGTTTATAAATATGTAAAGGGTGACTGTCAGGAGGATGGAGCCAGGCTCTTCTCAGTGATGCCCAATGGTAGGACAAGGGGCAATGGGTGCAAGCTGGAACACAGGAGGTTCTGCTTAAATTTCAGAAGTAACCTCTTTACAGTGAGAGTGACAGAGCACTGGAACAGGCTGCCCAGGGAGGTTGTGGAGTCTCCTTCTCTGGAGACATTCAAGACCTGCCTGGACACCTTCCTGTGTGATCTCATCTAGGTGTTCCTGCTCCGGCAGGGGGATTGGACTAGATGATTTTTCGAGGTCCCTTCCAATCCCTCACATTCTGTGATTCTGTGATTCCTGGTCCTGGAAGATGCAGGAGAACAGAAAGAAAGAGTATGACTGAAATCTCTAAATTTTATAGATTGGATATCATCAGTTCATGTCTCAGCTAAGAGTCAAACAGCTACCACTAAGCATACAATAAACAGGTTACCGTTCCTGAATCATCATTATTTTCCAGGAACAGTACAAAACTAAAACTCCAAATTAAATTAATTTAACTTCCAATTAAATTAATTAAATGCAATGATTGGCTACCTGTTCAACAGGCAGAACCTTAAAGTTCCTGTATGGTCAAATTAATATTGTTATACGACTGCTGGAGCAGAATGCTGTAAGGTTAATAAGATACTGGCACAGTGCCCAGCTTGATTAAATTAACAGGATTTCTTTGGACTGCTATTTGTGACTGCAGGGTTTATCACTATGGTACTGCTTGGTTCTGTGTCTCTTTGGTTTCCCGTAAAATAAAGGACAAGCTCTTGCCAAAAACACTATCCAGCATATGCTAAGCTTGAAAGCAAGTGTGAATTTTAAGGACATCTGCTTAGTTTTTTTAGATGAGTTATATTAGCTATACTAATTTTATCAGACACATTATAGGGTAATTTGCTTTTTCCCCGCTTCTTTCTGGGAAGTTAAAACCTTCATGTTGAGAACCTTTCCATGTATTATTTTCTGTTAAGGTATTTAACAATAATTGAAAGTATTGTTTTCATACAACTTCAAATGGAGATGTTAACAAGGAACCAGAATTTTATTTCATGGACTGAGGTTTTATTCTAGGTTATATGATGGCTCTCTAGATTTTCCTGTAATGCCAGTTGATTAAGCATACCCTTTTTCTCTTTTCTACAGCTGACTTAGCCCACTTAATGGACAGAACCTATGAAAGAAAGCTGCCTGTCAGCTCTTTGACAATAGCCCGGGTAAGGAAATAAATCCCAATTGTAAATTGATAGAAATGACGGTGGAATGCTTATGAAATCAAGTGAGCTGTGAGGGGATAAATGATATCACCTCTGCTGGGAGTTCTGGGACCGTAAATGTCTTGACAGGGTTTTTTCCTCAGTAAAATTGTGCCTCACTGTTACTGGGCTATGTATTTCCCTAATAGGTATGTTCCCCGTCTTCCTGTGGCTTCTGTCTTAATGAGAGCTTTAACGCCCCCTCAGCCACTTCCTAAGAACCTGGGCTGCTAAGGGAGTGAAATTAATTAGCACACTGCCTACCTGCCTGCCTGCATCTTCTTCTGCTTCCAGGCTCCTTTCAGAGTGAGGCGGAGGTGGATACATTTTGCCTCTACAGTTTTCTTTCCTTGCCTCAGCAGACTGAGGCAGGCCAAATGCTCGTGTGGGATAAGTGAAGCCATTATTTTTACTGGAAATAGTAACCAGTTCCATCCTCTGGATGGGTTAATCTTGGGAGGGGGAGTGAAGGCAGAGGTGTGAGATGTGCTTTTAAGTTCCCTGTGTAAGTGGGTGAGCGTACTGAAAGAGAATAAATATGTCATTTGTTTTTTTTAAAATCCCTCTAATTTGAATCTTCAAAATTATCCAGAAAGGTTGAGTCACCACCCTGGTACCTCAGTACCATTAATTAGGATCATTGGCACCACTAACGGAGGAGTCATGGAACATTTTGTACAGTTATAAGATCAAGCATTTATGCAGACCAAGCATTCTTGATCACTGCTTCTGAGACAGCATCCATGGGAGAAATGAGTGTTTCTCTCCTTTTTGTTACTTAATCAGCTTTATTCCTCTCCTTCATGTTCATGCTTTGTGCTGACCTCTTCTGTGCAGAGGTGCCATTTCTAGACTGTCAAACAGCCCCACTTTACAATACCTGCAGCTCATATCAGATTCTTGTTTTCCAAAATGCAAATAAAACACAAAGGTATGCTATTGCCCCACTCAAAAGATGAGACCTACATGTATACAGCATGCAAGGAGAGTTAAGAAACTGGAGAGCAAGTACCAGTCAGCTGAAACTATTCTTTTTAGCTTATACTTAGGATAAAGAGAAGTACTGACTCTCTTGAATTATGCTTAGATTATGGAGTTTTCCAGGATCTTTATGCTTGTGTTAGTAAAGCCTACAGGAAAACAGGATTCACTGTTACCATAAGATGAAGTCTGCATGAAAACTTGGCTTTTATTTAAATAGTTCATAGCACTGGGAATTTTGAAAGATTGCCTGCAGTAGAAAGGGTTTTAAATGTGAGGACAATTGTGCTTTACAGCATGGGGGGATGATGTTTTTCTTACTATTATTTGTATGTGTGGTGACATACAAAATGCTGTTGCCCCTGTTTTTGTAGTATGAATAGGCACAACAGGGAAACGTTGGAGAAAAGAATACTTTTTAGAAAGGGAAATAAGGCATGTCAAGACTCACTCAAAATTGGGGGAAAAAAAGTAAGGAACTGAATGTATTCTCAAATTAATGTCTGTGATTAAAAAGCAAAATTTCAGGGAGGAACAGCAAAAATACAGGCTACCGAGCTGCATGGACGTAATTCTCAGATGGTCTCCAGGTTTTCAAGGTGCGTAGCTTTCCTTAGAGGTGAGGGAGGGGAGTTGTTTCTGTTTAACAAGATTTTACTGTTAGCATTCTAGAAGAAATCTGAGTAGGAGCAAGGAGAGACTTGAAGACCTCCAGTACTGTCAGACACCTAAATATGCCAAAAAAATGTATTTTGTTTACTGAAGTGACATTTTCTACTAATAAGTTTTGTGAGTGCTCCCTCTGAAGCTTTTATTTCTTATTTTTTACTCAGTTTGTTGACAACATTTCTTCACGAGAGGAAGTGGATCAAGCGGAATATTACCTTTACAAGTAAGTATCTTTTAGCCTCAGCATGAACTTTGAGACATGCAAGTAAATACCATGAAGTCTTGCCCTTTCCAGGTTACTGGGTTTGATTTCTCTTTTGCAAAATAAATGCATCTACTTGTCTTACAGCTCATAGCTTAGGGCCTTCTTGGTAATTCCTCCTTTGTTATGGCCACCCTCCTTCTGGACTTCTGTCAAGCATGTTCGTCTGAGCCACTGAGCAGTTAATACAACCTCCAGCTATGATTTACATGAGAGATACTGAAATTATAAGGAATTGTATTTGTTCACAATTTTTCCTTCCGATTTGTTCTCTTAAATCATAATTTGACTAAATTTGTTGTATGCATATTTGCACATGTAAGTGTAGGACTCAAGGAAGCTTGTTTCCGTAGAATTAACAGAAATGAGAACAGGCATGCTGTGGTGATGATCAAGTTAGCAAGGCTAAATGAAGCATAGTTTTGTTTTTTATCCCCCTAGTACTTTACGTTCCCCAGATAAGCTGTGTAGTTCACCTTTTGCTTGGGTTGTTAGGGTTTTCTGCAGCTGTTTTTGTGTTGAGTGAAGTGTATTGGGTACCTTTTCTGCTAGCATCAGGTTGAATGCCTGCTTGCTTCAGGTCAATACATCTCAATATTGACTTTAAGGGGGCAGTAATCCTTGCTGATTGCTAGAATAAATTAGTTCTTTTATAGATGGTTGCACACACATTTTGAGAGTTAAGTTTCTTGATGGAGAAAGCAACTAATCGTGCCAAAGTGCATGAGAGAGCATCTTTACAAGTAGTGTCAATAATGATTGTTACTTTAATGAAGAAGTTTACTGGATGGCTGGTTTAAGTGTATGCATAGTTTTAAGTGCCTGACTGCATTAGGCTTCTCTGGTACTACTGGGGCAGTATCTGAACCTCAGAGCTTCAAGGAGGAAACAGGAGAAACCAGGTTTGCTAATACTAGGAATCTCTTGTAATGAAAAAGTAAAAGGAGGAAGAAGAATCTGTCACAGGGAAGAGATCAGTGACACTTTCATTCCTTCTGAACAGGATTTTATTAGTCCTGTCAGACTCTGTGGTCAGAAATCAGTTACCCATCCTGCAGCAGGTGAGATGAAAAGAGGAGAAAGTAAAGCCAGTTTAAGGAAAGGCCTCATTTTTGTTTAACAGATGTGATACTAGTACCTTTTGCTAACATTCTTGAAGATTGTAATGTACGTTTTGCCACACAGACTTAAATTCTCTCTGATGGGGTCGAGCCTTATAGGGTAAGGGATGCCAAGAGATCTTTGAGTACCCTGACACCAAGAGGAAAGTGGGGTGGTTTTATTTGCTTAGTCTCAAAATGATACAGATAAAATCCAGATAGTCAGACTGAGATGTTCATGAGTAATGTGTCTTACAAGTTCTTTCTTCTTGAAAACAAGAGGTTCAGAGAGAGTGACTAAAAATTGGAAGCATAGAAAACATTCCATAGTAAGAGGGAGAGAATAGAATGGGAATGTCCATGTAAGTATCCCCAGTCTTCATCTGTGCCTGGTTAGTACCTCAGTTTAAGATACAGGGGTTTTGCTTCAAAAACACATTTTAAAGGAGAGATTTGCGGTTCAAAAATAATTACATTTATTTACTTTTTCTCTAAGAAATAATTCTTCTGCAGATGGTGAGAATATAGTAATGCACACATCAAATTTGATCATTTGTAATTGACAGATTTTGATTAATTTTAATTCTCTTCACACAGTCTGTGTGAAGAGAATAGAGCGGTACTGGTGTATCACTTGGTAGGAATTTTTCTTGTGTGTGCCCCTGTAATGCTGTCTTGGTGTTGCAAAATGCTTAGTCTTTTGGTGATGTTAGCATCAGTTTTTCAGGAGACTTAATTCCAGTAAGATACATGAAACTATTCTCAAAATATATTTGCATACAGGTAAGTATGAGAAACAGTGTAGGGAGGTGTGTAATTCATGTGAAAATGTTAAAATCCCAATTATAACATCAGCTTCCCTTTCAAATGAAAAAAAATGTGCTAGCTTCAGGAAATAGGAGATATGGTTGGTATCCACAAGGCCCCTTTCATTGTTCTTTACATTTTGCACTTAGGCTAGAGTTCAAATGAAGGACATGTTTATAAAGATAGCTCTTTGCAGCTGGGAGGATGTTTGACACAGAAAAATCCTGCAAAAGTGACCATACCATGAGACATAAAGGAGGTGGTAGAGAGGGAGACCTGAGAAACAGAGAAGCTTTGACGACAAATCTCTTTTTCTGGCTTAATGAGAAACAGTTCACACAATTTTTATACTTTATGTAAGGAGAATAAGCTTATAAAAAAGAGAAAGGCAGTATCAGTGAAAAGCTTTTTTAATACCTTTTAAGATATACAAACCCATTGTGAGCAGATGGCATGTATGTGGCCTGTTAAGTTGGCTGTATGTGCATTTGCCTGAACGTAAACAAGCAGAATGTTCCCAGCGTCCTGTGTTTTTCCCCTTAACTGCTTGTAGAGTATAAGGGGAAGATTTTGATGTTACTCCCCAGTGTTGGGTGCCTCTGGCAATCTGAGGTGAAGGGTAGTCAGTTCCAAGGCCCCTGCAATGTTGGAAGATGTTCCTGGTACAAAAGGGCAAATTGTGCCTCTGGGAAGAATCAGATGGCAGTAAATGGCATTTCCATGCTCACTGTATGGAGTTTTCCTGAAGATGGAAGTGCCAGAACTTGTAAGCTTTGTAGGCTGGAGACTTCCCTTATAGTGTGTCAGACAGAACATTGTTTCAAAAATTAGTAATGCATTTAGGGTCCAGAAATAGAATATAAATATTATATTTAGACCTGTTTCAACTTTCCATTCTTTTAAAGGAGTGGATCTCCAGCCATGCTGTCTCCACAGAGGATCTTGAGCTCTCAAGAATAGCTGTGTGGAAACTGCTACACTACATTGTGGGACATGTCATTAAGACAGTAAAGGCCATTTTGAGGCATGACGTCATCTGGTTTCAGTGTTCCTCTTTTTGTTCTATTCTGAATACCTCCTCCCCTCCATTAACTGTCAGACTTTAAAAAGGATCTCCAGCCATGCTGTCTCCACAGAGGATCTTGAGCTCTCAAGAATAGCTGTGTGGAAACTGCTACACTACATTGTGGGACATGTCATTAAGACAGTAAAGGCCATTTTGAGGCATGACGTCATCTGGTTTCAGTGTTCCTCTTTTTGTTCTATTCTGAATACCTCCTCCCCTCCATTAACTGTCAGACTTTAAAAA